ACATCTCCCCGCCGCTGGCCTCCCCCACGGCCCCTTGGGAGCCTGGGCCGGAAGCTGGTGAGTCGGTTCTGCTCCCCAAAACAGGGTCTTAGCTTCTGTTTGCTCCCCTCACCACCCCCGTCTCCTGGGACGTAGTGCCTTCCCCTCTGCTCAGAGGCCGTCTCAGGAGGCAGGGAAGAGGGGCAGGTGCCAGGCCTGGTGTGCAGAGGCCTCGCCGCGTAAAGGCCCTGCGGTCCTGTCTTGAAATGCACGATGTTTTCTGAAGACCGCCTCCTGCTCACAGATCCTGGAAGGACTGGGTCAACCATGGCTGTTTGGAAATCTAGGCATTATTATTATTATTAATTTTATTGATTTTTAGAGAGAGATACAGAAACATCAATGATGAGAGAGAATCATTGATCACCTGCCTCCTGCACGCCCCCTAATGGGGATCAGTCTGCAACCTGGGCATGTGCCCTTGACCGGAATTGAACCCAGGACCCTTCAGTCCGCAGGCCGACGCTGTATCTGCTGAGCCACACCAGCCAGGGCTCCTTCCTTTTTCATGGCTGCGTAATATTCCATTGCACTGATGGGCCAGGTTTTGTGTGTCCATTTACCCGTGGGTGGGATTTTAGGGCTTCCCCAGCCTCTGGCTTTGTGAATAGAGCTGCTGTGATCTTTGCGTTCCGGGGTCTGTTTGAGAACCACGCTCCCCTGTGGGGTGGGTCCCTAGGAGTGGGATGTCTGGCTCCCCTGGTGATTCTGTGTTGAGCTCCCCAGGAACCACGCACTGCCTGGCCCTTGATCTCTGTGCCAGTGCCGATGGCACAGCACGGGCTCCGGAAATGCTTGCTGCCCGGAGGAAGGATGGAGGGAGGGCGGGGGGAGAAGGGCGCAGAGAGCAGACGCCTCCTCAACCCTAATTCTCTGGGTCTCTCCTGCCCCAGGCTCCCCGCAGCTGAGGCTGGTGGCTGGGCCCAGCAGATGCTCAGGCCGGCTGGAGGTGTGGCATGCCGGGCGCTGGGGCACCGTGTGCGACGACAGCTGGGACCCGCGGGACTCCGCTGTGGTCTGCCGGGAGCTGGGCTGCGGGGGGGCTCGGCAGCCGGACCCCTCTGCAGGCCGCTTCGGCTGGGGCTCCGGCCCCATCTGGCTGGACGACGTGGCGTGTGTGGGGACCGAGGCGTCGCTCCTTGATTGCCCTGCCGCTCCCTGGGGGAAGCACAACTGCGCTCACAATGAGGACGTTGGCGTCATGTGCACTGGTAAGGAGCCCTTGCCAGCCATCGGCTCCCGGAGGGCTTCCTGGAGGAGGGAGCAGGAACTAGCATCCACACTAATGTCCACGGAGCACCTGCCTCCTGTGCCCACGCCCTGGGCTGGGTGTTTTCCCACCCGTGACTGCATTCACACCTCACAGTAAGGCCGGGTTGGAGGGTGCTATGTCTGGTTTACTGATGAAGATTCTGAAGCACAGAGTGGTTGAGTAACTAGCCCAAGGTCACACAGCAACCAAGTGGCAGAGTTGTCCGAGTCAGGGAGGTCTCCCACACAGAGCGAGCTTCGTCCCCCCCAAGATGAGAGGAAGGGGACGGAGGGGCAAGGGGACAGCGAGAGAAGCCAGAGGAAGGTCTGCGGCAGGAAACTCCCTCTCCCTTCCTCTCTGAAATCAATACAAATATATTTTTAAAAATATGAAAAGGAAAATAAGAGAATGAATGGATGAATGAATGAATGGGAGCCTGGTGACTGACTGGGGAGGGGAGAGGAGAGAAAGGGAGGGGCATGGCCGGACAACCTTGGCACCTCGAGGTCTGCCACCGTCCCCGTTTTCCCTTCCTCCTTCCAGGGACCCCCGGCCTGGACTCCATCGCAGACCCCTTCAGCTGGAGCTGGCTCCCCGGCCTGGGCAGAGACCCGGATGCCTGGCTCCCGGGGGAGCCGGCCACCAAGCCCCCCGAAGGGCTGAGCCCCAGTGTCCCCGAGAGAACCACCCAGGCCCCCGGGAAGATGCCCAAGAGCACCAAGAAGTGGGTGACCAAGCACCCAAAGAGGCCGGCCACTCCGGCCCCCAGGACGCCGACCACTAAACACTCCAGGAGCCCGGGCACACGGGGCCCCCCTGAACTGAGCTCCCGGACCACTGCATCCTTGACCACTGAGGCCCCCCGCAAGCTGACCTCACATACCAGCACAACGCCGACCCCCCGAGCCCCCTGGGAGCGGACCTCTAAGACTGTGACAATGATGACCACTCAAGATCCCGGAGAGGTAACCTCTCTGTCCCCGGTGGAGCCATCAGCCAAGACCCCAGCAGAAGGCCCTTCAGAATCATCCAAAGACCCAGCCCCCTCCCCCACCGGGGGCTCCCCCGGGGGATCAGGTGAGTGGAGGGCACGTGAAGGGGCGAGGCTGACCCCAGGTGACCCCTCCTGACCCGGGGCCTCCCACTGCAGGCCCCTTCCGGGTTCGTCTGGCCGATGGGCCTAACCGGTGTGCCGGCCGGCTGGAGGTGTGGCACGCTGGACTCTGGGGGACAGTGTGCGATGACAAGTGGGACCTGCGGGACAGCACCGTGGCCTGCGGGGAGCTGGGCTGTGGACGAGTCCGGCCCCGCGTGGGCAAAACCCACTACGGTCCCGGGACCGGGCCCATCTGGCTGGACGACGTGGGCTGCAAAGGGACGGAGGCCTCGCTGAGCGACTGCCCCGCGGGGCCCTGGGGACAGCACAACTGCGGCCACGAGGAGGACGTAGTGCTGACCTGCACTGGTACTGGGGCGGCGGGCGCCCCGGGAGACTCTGCAGGGGCACCCCTGAGGCCGGACAGGGCCAGACCTCTCCCGATTTCTCCCAAGGCCACGCCGACGAGGAGGACTACCCCGCCTGGACCTGGGACCCCACCTCCGGAGAGGACCTGGCCCAGGGCACCCCCGCTGCAGGGGCGCCTGGACACACTGCCTCCTGGGGTAGCACCCGGAGCCCTGGGGTCCCCTCCCCAGAGATGAGGCGCCTCCCGGGCCCAGGTGAGGAGCATGGCCAGTGGCGGCGGGGCCTCCGTGCACCCCCCTCTCCTGCAGGGTTTCCACAAAGACCCTCCTGCTGAGTTGGCCTGGGTCGCAGGGTCGCAGACATCTGGGCATGCTTCCTGGGCCCCAGGGACCCTAAAAAAAACCCCCCCCCCCCCCCCGGCTCTCCTCCAGAGCCTGGGAGAGGGGACCCCGTGTATCTCTGAGAACAGATCGGGCTGAGCCCAGCCCCAGCCCATGTCCCCCCAGTAACCCACTGGGGCCTCTGGTTCTACTGGGATACCCAAGCCTGCGCCCTCGATCCAGAGCCGGACTCCAGGGCCCGGGGGCCACTCTGTGCCCACCCTGTGCCCACGTGATCATCCCAACCTTGGCTCCCTCAAACCCCTTCTCCAAGTGCATGCTGTGCTCGGGGTGGGGCTGTGGCTCAGAGGTTGGGGGACACCTGCATGCAGGGTCTGTCCTCAGCCTGACCCCTGCCCTGGCCAGCAGGGCCCCCCGTCTCCCCGTCTCTCTCCCTCCATCTCTGCGGCTGCACATCTCTCCGCCTCCCGCTCATTTTGTCCCCGGTCGCCCGCCTCGCACCCTCCCCATCCCTCGCAGGTGGCTTCTTCCCCGGTTCCCGGCGGACCACGCCCCTCGGGCCTTTCCCGCCTTTCCCACCAGCCCAGCACGCATGCGCACACTGCAGCCCGGCGCCAGAGGGGCGGGGCGGAGGATGGAGGGGTGGGAGGAGCTAGCGTCCATCGGCTCGCGTCTCC